GTTTTCTTGTTTTCCTTTTCTTAAATCTTGTCCAGCAGTTCGATAGAGATCCATTTTCCGCTGTCATCGCTAGGTCTTCCAGCTTAGAAAGGATCATATGATGTTATTTGATTAACATAAAGATTATTACAGACAGACAGACATCATCAACAGAGAGCCTGGGATAGACATCTGTCGGCTTAAGTTTCCATTCCGGATTAGCACGACAAGATAAAGATCACAAGACGTCTAAATAATGTAGAAGCAATAATAAAAATACTAAGCCTTCGGAATATGATTATCACAGAAACATGCAAAAAGATTAACTGGAATTTTGAAATTTATAAAATACACAGGAAAATACAAATGATGTAATAAATAATTGAGCAAAAGCGGAATAATAAGATCTTTAAAATTAGGAGGAAGATTTCAGTTAATTAATGACAATGTAGGTCCTGGCACGAATATTTATCAGTGTAGATTGGTCATATCCTACATTAACACTTAGACAAAATAAGAAAAATGAATATTATGGACAGGTAAAACCATCATAGTGAAAGCCAATCATTAGAGATGACATTTAGAATGAATGATTAAGATCAAAGAATGAAAAACATAGGATGGTAAAAGCCCAGGATTTCGAGGAACACAGAAAAAGACAGCAACTGCGCTAAAGCAATCGTCTGAAGTTCACTTAGCTTAGCATCAAATAACATTAAAAAATCTATAATATGATGTAACACTGATGGATTAGATGAATCCAGGTCGCATGGCATTACGATATCAGGACAGATGATGAATGAAAGTATGGGTTAGTTATTGTGAGTAAGCGAAACACGCCCCTACTCAAACGTACTGCACATATCATTGCATAGATAGGTTCATATATATAATTCATAAACATATTTATTCAATCTGTAGCGAAAAAAGGTTTCAACCTGTTCTTAATCCTGTTAGCCTGCATACCAGGTTGCATTCATACGTCATAATGGGTATGGTCTTGACTTCAGTGTACAGTGTACCACAGTGTATATAATGCGAACACACAAAATGAAGTACACTTGATATATTAACTGTCTATAGAACAAGCGTTCTTAAAGCCTAATGTTAAACATTCAACAATGATCCATTAAATCATAGTTTCCCACTTTACTCCATGTACTTTGATGTAAGTAAATCAGTAGTATTTTCAACCTTATTCAATAAACATAACTCAAATTTTAATGCACACATCAATAGGTGGATTGCAGTAATCATAACGAGTCAACATTTATTTAGGTATATATGCGAAGCACATCTCATCCTTAATATTACATCAGTTAACGAACTTGTCGTAAAATTTATCATTTAAACTTCCTTACTGTGTGAATTCTCGAATTCTAGCCAATAGATAAAGCCTAGCACGAAGCAAGCTGAAGCCGTAACGCCATAATAAGTGAACCGGAGTTAGAAGTGTTGTCTGATCAGTAACATTTGAAAATACTGGTTTATAACCTTCTTCAAAAAGAAGTAAGCGTTGATCAGTATTTCTTAAAGGAACCATAGGTATTTCTATAAGGCAAAAACATAAAACGTATTAATACAAGCATCAAAACCACTATCCACGTAGAAAAATAAACACTGAAAAGTTTCAAACTTGTATTCCCAATAATTAATCCAATGAAGTTAGATCAACATTAGAATAGAAATTGAATTTCACCTGATTTGACAACAAATTTTAGGAAGAAAGTTTGAAAATAAAATCACTAAAACTGTGATCAACAAAGCAACTCAAATTTTGTTAATCTGAATATGAGAGCGGATAGTCCTATTCATGAAACATATCGCTGAAGTAAATAAGTATACCCTTACATTAGCAAAATAAATAGTATACAAAGTAGGGATTTCTCAAATCGTTACTGTACGAGATTTATGCTCTAAATGTACTACTTGGACATGATACTGAATGAGAAAATTAAGAGGTAGATAAACTTTGAAAAACACTACTGATTTCGGGAAATGTACAATTCATAATCATTAATTTGTAATTTTATATATCTAGTAATCAGAATATTGGAAGAAATTATATATGTAAACTCATCTTAAATGAAGGTCTAACTGCAGTATTGTTTTTGCCGTCAAAAGGATACATTACTGGTATAGCGAAGACTTTACTCTCGATAAAAAATGTTGTGATGTGCGGTGTTCAAAAGTGGATATTGATTCACAATCTCCATATAAACAAGCCTAGCTAACCACTGAGGAGAAATAAAAGCCATTTCTTGACTAATCACATGCACTTATCATTTGCCCGATGTCTGATTGGCACAATGTAATAAAAAAACTACCAAGTAGAACAGTGCGGAAGTTAGGAATTAGGAACTTTATAAATCTGATGAACATTGTTGTTTGAAAACAATAGATTAATTTTAGCGACTTGATCGTAAATCCAGTTGCCATGTTAAAAGATGAAGTTCACAAAATATTCAGGAAACATACAAACTAACTTACTGAATTGATTTGCAAACGAATACATGTAATAATTACTAGAATGAATAGCGCTAGCTCCAGATTCGCAAGTTTCTCCACAAAAAGGTACCGTTTTGATACGACCACCGATTCGTCCGGATTTCTCAAAAAGGGTGATAGAAACTTTATTGCCGAAAATTTGTCGTAAAAAATAAGCCGAACTTGCGCCACCTATTCCCCCACCAACAACAGCTGAAATCAAACAGCAGTAAGGAAAATTGTTACCCATTTAAAAGATAAATTGAAACAATATACATTATTCAACTTAGTATTGTTTGACCAGTTGCAGTCCTAACAAATCGATGGGAAGATTCAAACAAACAATACTAAGTTGAATTTAAACTTCACCCCATCGCACAAGCAAGTGGCTATCAGGACTCAGTGGCCGAGTGGATAACGCGATGGCGTTTGAAGCGAGGGTACTGGGTTCGAGTCCCAGAGTGAACATCAACTCTGAGATGCAGGTACATCCAGCTGACGAGTCCCAAATAGGACGAAACGCGCGTCCTGGATTCCACTGCTAGCCACTATCCATCTCTGCTAAATATACATTATTGTTGCTGAATCAATAAGCCTAGCAAAAATAAAACTAAAACGAACAATTCACCTATTTCTGATTTTTGTCTAATTCAGTCTAGGTCACCGAGGTAAACAAAATGGAAAATCGGTTAACTACATTGTGAATCAACATTGATTTAAGTGGCTTACGTATATACAACAACCGAATACCTAAACGTATGATGGTGGTTGACTTAGTAGATTGGAATAAAGCTAGTAACAACCAAAACGTGGCGTCGATCCACGACATTAATGACTGTTCGACTGATCGATGTTTGTAGGTACAGAGTATTTTGTTGAAATTTCAGTGACTATCATGGTAACCATTCGAAAGGGGCCACAAGAGGCAATCATCAAAAGGGAGTGAGTGTATTAATAAAAAGTTAGCATTGAAGTTGGTAATAACGTTTTTAGTAGTGTGAAGTACGTTCGATTTACCTTCTGCCCTTTACTCTACGACCAATCAAAAACGTAGTCTTCTGAACAGTGTTATTGTTATTACACTAATCATGTTATTTCGAATAGCTAAGCTGTAAACTATTGGGACAGATGTTTTTAAAATACTTCAGAAATGTTTAGTGGATTTTACTTTGAATAAACTTTAAATACTAAAAACATGACTTCCTTTTAAAATTAAGAATTAATATGCTTTTTCGTGTATATAGTCTTATGTCGATCCGTTTTCAGAATATACGACCAGTTTGGTACGCACTGATACCTCCTTACACTTTCTTGTTAAGTGCTGTGTTGGGTACCTGCAACATACTGTTTGATTTTCAATTTATTTAGAATCTATTCCTTCTTCAGAGAATTAATCAATTTCCATACGCCTGGATGAGCGGTGCCAATAAGTTTACTAAAGCCACTACGCAACCTTTCCACTGCATTTTTCGTTTTAAGGTCTTCCCACAACAGTATTGTAGATATTCCACAGTGTAATTTTGAAAATTGGTTCACTGAAACCATTAAGTTTTGCTGGTCTCCTGATCTAAATGTCATCGAAAGAATTTGTTGACTCCTTGATTTCTTCATTCTCTATGTAAAATGATGACTCTATTAGATTCTCAAATGCAGCTGTGACGTCTGTGACCAGTACTAAAGTTAATGCTGCAAAGCAAAAATTTTTTGTCGTATAAAGTTGTTGAAGGTACCCGCCCTATACACTGGCTCAGATGGGATAAACAACCTTCTTGTACGGTACCTTATGGATTTAAAGCTTGGTACAATTCTTTTAATTTGTTGAATATGTAGACATACGAATTTATACTCTTGTCATTCATTTGAATGTAAACCAATAGAAAAATCATACAGTATCTCATAGCATGAATCGTGTAAAGCTGACTAAACAAAGGTGGCAACGTCTTGAATGTTCTATTGTGGTGTGGTCTACTTATATCCATATAAGTAGTATATGGTGTGGGTCAGACATAGAATGTATTTTGGCAGAAGACCGATGAGGAAAGAACTGAAATGAAACGCAAACGTCTGGAAAATGCATGAGCAATGGAATAAGAAAAGAAACAGTGAAGATTGAAACAATTGGTTGTTAATTTGCAAATTGACTGTTCATTGTTTGGTAATCAGAATTTATTGAGATAGTCTGTAATCTTTGCTTATATACATTCGATTGTCCCCGGTCGTGTTCTGTTCACAACACTATTAGCTTATCAATGACGACACTGCTTCAACTATTCCAGATCCCAAGATGTAGAAAATTGACATATGGTAGTGGAAGTAAGATATGACTGGTAGTTGAGCGTGGACAAACAGATACAGCCTACTGACTGTTAAATATGTGATTTCCCTTTCTGTCATTGATTTCCACTCCGGACCCACTGAGTGTGACTGCTTGTGATTGTATTGAATAAAGTATTATCAATGTTAATCCGCATCTCTATTTTGGATCGTGAATCCTAGTTCTGATATAACGTGAATAGTCTTATTAACGTTTTACCGTAATATACGTGAAAGAGAAAAAATATTTTAAACATCCGTTATATCAAAAATATTAAAATTCTTTTGTCACCCGCCTTACTATCATGATGTAGGGAATTCTCTCTCCTCACAATCGCCTTATATTCAGGTAAATTTAGTACATTCAAAGAACCTGGATTTGGAAAGGAAGCTTGACTATCATGCTGTACACGTCGAAATATCTGTTTCGTTACATTATCAGCTGGGAGTTGAGCTGATATTACGTGCGACAAACCAATTGACACTGTAGCCACAATTTGATGTGTCGCATCTGTTTGGAAAGCTGCTCGATCTTTTATCACATTGGCTGCCTTTTTCGCATCTACTTTAGATTTATAAGGAACATGATTGTGTTTCGTCGGCTCTTTTGTAATAAATTCATACATCATATGACAATGCGACCTAAACTTCGCCGCACGATATTTCGTACGTTTCTAGATATTCTTGTTGTTAATTACTTTTTTTTTCCTGAACGTGTAACCATTCACTACTAGGAAGTCTGAGCCGTTATTGGTCTTCACGTATTCCAAATGTATTAAAATAAGGTGTAAAAAATATAACCAAGGATGCAATTCGTCGAATTCACAAACAATCGTTTCATTCTGAACTCTAATCAAATATTTTATGTCAAGACAAATAGATACAAATTTACTTTACAAATCTTCACATTTTCATTGCAAATACATAAACGTAATTAGGTTCATTACTGTTAAATTTTCGGTCACCTGGAACTGTTTGTTAAACTCTTGATCTGTTGGAAATCCAACAAAAAAACATCACTTTAGTCAGATTATATCCTGGCTGTTCGAAATGGACGTGCAAAATAACACAGCTGGGGTAATGACAATAACACTGTTACCGAATTCGAAAAATTACAGTATTTGTTGAAAGTAGACTCTTCACCACACGTTCAGAAGACTACGTTTTTGATTGGTCGTAGAGTAAAGGGCAGAAGGTAAATCGAACGTACTTCACACTACTAAAAACGTTATTACCAACTTCAATGCTCACTTTTTATTAATGCACGCGATGAATAATTTTAACCGATTATTACTACTAACTGACAAAAAAACGTGGGCAACAACTTGGATAATTTGATCCGATTAATAATGAGTTTTTAGGTATCGTTGCCAAGGTTTGACTTGATAATCTCAAAGTGGCTTACACTGAGTCACGAAACATCAGAAAATTTAATTTTTCTACTTATTAAGATATTACAAATATATCAATTTGTTTATTGTGGGCAAGATCAATCGCAACAGTGTAGATCCACTTATACTTTATTTAACCTTGGAATTCAAATTTAGGAATTACTTTGAATTTTTCATTCACTTAATTAATTCTTTCATCTCGAATCAAATTTTCTATGTGTGATCATTATTACTATCACAGATACTGTTTTGGAATTCATCTTGAGAATTTCATGTCGTCGAGTTAACGTGATTTTTGAACTTAGTTTGATAGAAATTTGTGCCAGGTCCTATGTTATTTAGGTCTAAATGACTGGTCTATCGCGAAAACTAGAAGCATGGTCAGTGTGCGTCGCTGTACTAATCCTGATAGAAAACAGATCCAGTACTGTCTGTAAAAGATAACCTTGCTAAAAGAACGCTAATCAAAAGAATCAATCAAAACTACCTGAACTTGGAATTGAACGATCTTCAGTTAGAAGAATTATGACGCCTAATGATGAAAGCCGAGATCCCTCGAAAATCTTAAGGACCTTTCCTCCTCTGGCAACCAGAACAACAATCAGTATAGGTTCATGGAATGTCTGGACAATGTAAGAGACCGGGAGGACCAATCAAATAGCTATAGAAATGATGAGATACAACTTGTAGGTTTTCAAAATAAAAGCAAGGCATTGGACCCAAACTGGACAGAAAAGATTCGATTCAGGAGAGGTTCTGTCGCTCTCTGATCATAAAGAAGAAAGTGCTACGCCCATACAAGGAGTTGCACTGATCCTATCCAAAGAAGCACGAAAAGCGCTTATGGGATGGGAATGACATGAATCCAGAATCATCAAAGCATTTTTCAAAACAAAGAAGGAGGAGAACACAATGAATGTTAACCAGTGCTATGCACTGACCGATGACAGAAATGAAGACTATAAAGATCACTCTTATGAGAGGTTTCAGTCGGTTGAAGAGAAGCGTCCATATTCCGAAGGTTTGGTTTTCTTATTATTGCTTCTACATTATTTAGACCTCTTGTGACCTTTATCTTGTCGTGCTAATCCAGAACGGAAACTTAATTCGACAGATATCTATCTCAGGCTCTCTGTTGATGATGTCTGCCAGTCAGTCAGCTACAACACAGGACCAGGCACATATATCCATCGGTTCAAGTTGCCATACCTCATCAGCAAAACAAGATGAACACCGAATTAATAGTAGATTCAATGGTGGTAATATTGCATATAAGGATATAGCACAGGAAGAAATAAAGGTATAAAGTAATTTTAATCTTATGGTTTAAAGAAAAACAAAGAGTGCATACACCCACACCATTGTGATCGATTCTGAGCCATGTCACACACAGTCTCCAACTATTGGTTACGATAGTTACGCGGACCTCAACTAAGTAGTCTGCGTCTACCAACAGGGCTCAGACTAGAAGTTAGTGACTTCAAGCACTGATGCCACGTTTTGGTTTGGCCGCCCCTAATTTTCTTTCAACCATCCCCAATACTAGTCAGCATTGTGCGTCATGGTAATCGGTGTTTAGATATGCGTAACATGTTGCCCAACCATCTCAGTCGATGAAGATTCACAACTTCATCAATTGATTTACCATCATTCCTCAATACCCTGCGTCTAACCTCACTATTACTTATCCGGTGATCCCAGCAGATGCTTGCAATGTTTCTAAGACACTAGTGGTCAAATACTAGTAGCTTACGAGTATCTTCTATTCTTAATGACCACGTTTTGCAATTGTAAAGTAGAACAGAACGAACTGCCACGCGGTATACTCGTCCCCTATATTGAAAGACGGATATCTCGCCTTCGCCATAGGTGACGTAAGTTGGCAAAAGCCAAACGAGCTTTTTGAACCCGTGCAGAGATTTCGTCAGACACTGAACCATTAGGACTGATCACACTTACAAGACAAGTGTTATCGATGGGTTCGACCGCTTCACCCCATATCCTTAGTTCGGGTGTTGACGAAGGCCAGTCCTGGAGCAACGACTTGCATTTAGAGTGGGAAAACATATCTCAAAATATTCTAACATTGTTGCTCAGTGTTACCAAAAGACTGAATTTTATCAGAGTCTTCACCAAACAGGACTAAATCATCTGTGTATTCTAAGTCGATTGGTGGACTTCCTGGTAGATCAATTCAGTTGACGAGAGCGCTATTTCCAGCAGTCAGTCAGTCAGTCAGTCAGTTACAACGTAGAACTTCGTACGTACGTACATCAGTTCGAGTGTCCATACCACATTAGCACAGAGATGAAGTTGTCGATTCAAATCCCATATTGGTAGAAGTAGTAAGAATATAAGTATTATGTGAAAGATAAAGGTTTGAAGATGTTATTGAAGGAGTATAATACGGTGAAATAAATTTGGAAACAGAAAAAGGATACAGACATGAAAAATTCAGATTAGAATTTGGTAGAACACAAAGAGTGGATGCACCTTCGCCATTGCAAACGATTTTGAGCCATGTCATTCAAGGTCTCTAACCATCGGTTGCTATCATCTCGCGAATCCCAACCAGGTAGTTTACACCTACCAACACGGCCCAGTCCACTTGTCAGAGACTTCATGGATTTATGTCATGTTTTGGTCTGGCCGCCCCTAGCTTTCTTCCAACCTGCTCCTACACCATAAAGCATTGCACGTCGGGGCAGTCGGTGGTTGGGCATACGTAACACATGTCCAAGCCATCTCAACTGATGAAGTTTCACTACTTCATCAATCGATTTGCCATCCTTACCTAGTACCCACGGATATCCGTCTCCGGCGGTAAGGTTTTTTTTGAAGAACGGAGCTAACACAAAAACTACCCACAAAAAGGTCGTGTGTGACCGACCTCAAGCAGTTGTCCCTTGGGCACTGCGGTCACGCTCCCCGGTCATTAAGACCACTTCTAACCCAATTCCCTTTTCAGGTACCTCTAGAAGAATCCTTCCACGGTGTGGGCAACCGGGAAGTGATAACTGCCCTCATACCTCTAACAACACTCAAGACCACTGTATTCATAATCAATCTCCTTCTTCAATTCCTACTACCTTGACTTTCAACACTAAACTTCCTCTCTCGGTTTCCTCCTCAAGTGTCACCATGGCCAACGATTCTAGTGCGCGAAACGCTGTCCCAGGTCTACTAAAACCTCGCTCCAAACTACACATTGGAGCCTTCAACGTACGTACTTTAAGTCAAATCGGTCAACAGGCCTCCTTAGCTAAAACCTTAGAGTCGCGTACCATTGATGTATGCTGTGTCTCCGAAACACGCATACAGGATCCTAGTGTGGTCATTCACTTGACCTCACCTCGCCAAAATGGACAGCCAACGAAATACACCCTCCGTGTATCTGGCGACCCGTTGGCTAGTTCTCGTGGACTTGCAGGTGTAGGTATAGCACTAAGTACAAGGGCAGAACAGGCACTATTAGAATGGATCCCCGTTAACAGTCGCCTGTGTGCTGTCCGGCTAAATGGCTCCGTAAGAACTCGGAAGGATAGGGACACACGTCGTTGCCTTTTCGTCGTTTCTGCCTACGCTCCCACTGACTGCAGCCATGATGAGGTGAAAGATGACTTTTACAGAAAGCTCTCTGAGCTTCTTCAGAAAGCTAAGCGCTCAGGCATAGTAGTCGTAGCGGGTGACTTTAATGCCCAGGTAGGCAGCTTAAATCAAACAGAAAGACATCTAGGTGGGTGTTTTAGTATTCCGGCTCAACGAACCGATAATGGTGATCGTCTGTTGCAACTATGCTCAGACAATCGTTTATTTTTGGCAAGCACTAATTTTAAACATAAGGAGAGACATCGTCTAACATGGCGACCACCTGCACCAAACCAACGATGGACTCAAATAGACCATATTGTCATCAGTCATCGTTGGAGAGGCTCAATAGAAGATTGTCGCTCGTATTGGAATACTTGTTTAGACTCTGATCACGCTTTAATACGAGCGCGCATTTGTCTGCGCCTCAATGGACGCAGGAAAAGTAAACTAAGAAGACCCGTTAGGATTGAACTGGAGGACGAGAAAGCCAAATGTGAATTCCAGAGACAACTGAGTTCACATCTAGGCAGTTCTGTAAACGAGACTGACCCAGATGCTGCTTGGAAAGGCATACGAACAGCTGTGGAGACAGCAGTAACATCTATTAGTCATTTAAACCATAGGGCTCCAAAAAACCAGTGGATTTCTTCTAAGTCTATTTCACTGATGGATTCGCGTAAACTCATACCATCAGGCTCTGAACATGACGATGAGCGTAAACAAATTAGATCTAGGTTAACTAAAAGTCTAAGGAACGATCGT